TTAATTTTTTATTTTCAAGAAATAATATTGCAAATTATTTAACATTATTGTGCTATCAAACCAAACATGTAACTAACCCACTGCAGGCATTCTCGTGAACAGGCAATCTCTGAACATTTTCAATGTGCCTAGTTGTAATCAAATTTAATTTCTTCAAAACTAGAAAAAATATTAAATATCGAGAAATTAATGAAAATAAAATTTTGAAACATCAATATTTTCAGAAAAATTAACTACAAAATGGTTATAGTCAATTTTTGGAAATAATTAAATAAAAAAATATATTTTTTAACTTTTATAGGTATTAAGACATTAAAATAAATGAAAAAATGAAAAAATTGTAGTTCTTATCCCTGTGAGTATTATTATAAAACCAGAATTTTGATATCTCCATTATTTTGTGAGATATCACTATGGGTAAATCCTCGCCGGACACCTGTATACCTACCCTCCTACCTATTATATTTATTTGTTGATAGGCTTTGTTTTTATATTTTAAAAAATGAACATAATTATAATATATTCATTTTGTGCATTCTTTATTTTAAAAGGTACGCAAAAAGATAATTCAAATATTAATGTTGGACGAACTCAAAGACCATCGAATTCAGGTAGTTTATTTAATTGTTGTAATTTATCATTCATAAGATTTATGTGTAAACATTTTTAAGTATTGTAATTTTTATTTTTTTATACTGTATATATATTTGGAGACATAAATTTAAATGATATTTCTATATTCCATATTGTAATTATAATATCCAGGTTAATATGAAAGTCTTAAGTTTTAATACTAAATTTATAGTTTTCAAGATATTGTTAAATCATTTTTGTAAAACTATTTAGTTTCTTTGTTTGATAAAATTTTATTAGAATTAAATGTTCTTAGTTATCTAAAAAGTATTCTCTTCAAATTGATATTTAAACTTAATATTAATGTAGAAATTACAATTTTAATTTTGCTCGGTCAAATTATTCAAAATCCTCATTAAATAGTCACAGTCTTTTGAGTATACTGCCTGTACTCCCTTATGCACTTGTGATTACTTTTCTATTATTTGGCTTAATATTTATTTAATCATCTTATTTTAATGCATGATCACAATTTCAGATAACAGTAAATATTTTAGCCGGATAAACTAGTATTAAAACTAGTTTTGTTGGGTATTGAAATACACATTTTGTAAAGTATTCAAATTTTTAACACTTGATGTGCAATACAGTATGTATTCTTTTTAATGGTTACACCTATTTTTAGCACATAATTGGATTGATCATATTTGCTGATGTTGTTTTTACCTGATAATACTGGACCCAAATTCAAAATTTAAGAACAATCATCACTCAAATTTTAGAAAAAATATATCAACTATTTTTTTTTTWAAGTTATTGTATTTTATTTCATTAAATTGTATAGTATTTTGACACAAAAATYATCTCTTCCTTTTGGACAACTATGTTTTTTTTTTTATATAATTCTTGGACATTGAGTTATGAATTAAAATGATAAATATTTATATACTACATTTTTTGAATGTGGTATTTTTTTTCAACTGCTTCAATAATAATAATAATATTCACTACTACAATACTACTACAAATATTAATAATTATGGCTTGGAATGTAATGCTCGTTAAAAGTACTAAATATGCAAATTATGCTATTAATAAAGTTATTTTATCTGGTAATCCACTTATTTTATCAAAAATCAAATAATTTTACAAGGCTATTTACAATTAAGTCCAGAGTTATTATTCTTAGAACAATTAAATTGGGTATAACCATATGAAATACCTATTTCTGGAGCAATATGTCTTAAGTCATGCTAATGGCTGTATGACTAATATCTGTACTTCTTTGTCATCAAACATAATTTGCTTTACACTTTTATTAGTTTTATTGGATATTGTTATTTTGTCTACAAGGATTTGATCCTTATTAGAGTCATAGAATATAATTTTACAAAAATTAAAAACATAGTTGCGCTAAAGGTAGTAAACATTTTGTATTAAAATGTTATAAAATTGAATGAGAAAAGATAAAATTTATTGAACAAAACTTAAAAATTGGTTGGATACACGTAAATCAATCATTTATAAAAAAAAAAACCTTTTTTTAAAATTTGAGTGATAGTTATTGTATTTTAATCTGTAGTGATGACAGTCATTTAGTCAATTTTAAATTTATGGACCAATTTATGTGCTAAAAATGGTGCTAGTTCGGTATGCGCTCTACATACGTCGTTTTTATTTTATTATTTTCTGGATGAGCTCTAAACGTCGTTTTTATTTTATTATTGGCTTTGGCTTTCATTCATGTTCTGGATGTCTTTTAGCATGGCGATTAAAAGGTCCGGCCTGTCTTGACGGTAAAGTCGCCAGAAATAGTGGTCAAGATTGAACTACAAATGATTCAAAGAAACACCCCTCATTTTCTTTAATAATTTAATTTTTGCGTCCAACCATGACTTCTCAAAACATTGAGGTGTGGKTTCCTGTATTTTCATCGACATATGACATTTGGTGATTTACCGTCTTGTGTACAAAACCATGGCTTGTGAGACTCCTATATGAAGCCCATTCATCAGAATGAATAGTAATAAATAGTAGGTAATAGAATTTAAGGCAAAGATAAGATAATAAAGTCCAAAGAAAAATCCAACACATCATGTATAAAAACGTAGATAACGCATGACCAACCTAGTGTAAAACGGCAAAACCGGTAGAGCGCATACCAAACTAGCACCCTTAAAATTGGTGTCAGATACAATTCAATGAAAATTACATTATGTATTGTGCATGCGTGCGCCAAGTGATAAAAATTTGAATATTTCACAATGTGTATTTCAATACCAAAAAAATCCATCACAAGGTCATATATGGTCAAAAAAATTAATATTACCTAAAATAGTAATCACACTGTACCTGTATAAAATATCCTAAATAATTAAATGAACAGGACAWAATGACTTTCCACAAATGTCTCAAAATAAACAAGATACTAAACAGGAGTTTACAAAAAAACAAAACAAGCCAAAGCAACACCAAATCCAGAAACAAAACCAACCAACTGAGTGTAAACCACAAGGTAAGGCTCATGAATATTATCAGAAATAATCTGAAGAAAGTATAAAGTACAAGACACGTGAACATTTCAAAAGTCTGGTACTCTGAATTGTTGATTTCCTGTTGTCTATAGTCCATCATAATGATGATAAATTAATAACAAATATTATACAGGATGATTTTTTTAGCATGCTCAACCCCCCTTTTTCCCCTTGATAGTACATTTATTCAAATTATGATTCTTAGAATTTTCAAGTTTACTTAAAAACCATATTTTAAAACTTCTGATATTTTTTTCTCTACTTAAGGAATATGCTGTGGCGTACTAACTTATATTTTTCAAGAGAGAATCCCACCCGTTTTTTTATTGAAAATTATTAAGCGGATAATTTTTTTGAATATTTTAATGTATTTAAATCAAAATTCTAATTTKTAGATTCTGAGTTGGTAAAATGTTTATTCTAAAAATAACCATACTTAAAAATGGTTTTATAAAAATAAAAATGATATGTTAGGTATATTATTGATGTAATATTTATTATACTTGTATAATTTTTACAAATTATTTATATGGATAAACCATTAGTAATTGCTAAGTTTTTAAATCATCTTAGCTTCCCATGTACTTAGCCCATTACCATAGACATATTATCCTTAAGGGTCGGGCCACACATAGCGGTCGAGCCGCAGCGGTTCAACCGCCAGATTACCGTTCACATATGCGCAGTCGAACCGCGTGCGGTTATACCAAAGTATTGGGTGATTGAAAAATTATTATATTTTAAAACTTARTAATTAATAGTACCATATACTACAGTTGACATGCTCGTACTGAAAAATTAATTATATCTAAGTAGTAAGTATATTATCTTTATTATGTGAGGCATTTTTAAATTTTATTATATTATTACATACTTACTTTACATACAAACATAATTCTATACGCTGTTCCAAAAAAAAATACACCAGATTTTCATATATTTTGTAATAGATTTGATAAAAAAATTAAAATTATATTTTAAAGCATCAGTTTTTTTTACAAATAAAAAAACAGTGTAATTTTAGATTATGAAAGTTACTAGAAACCTTAGGCCCCACTATCGGAATTTTTTTTTTTAAAGCAAATGATCTTTGAAAAAATGAACCGCGGTTATGAACCACGACTATGTGTGAACGGACTAATTCAAAACGATGTGTTTTAATCATTTGGGCAGTCGAACCGCACGCRGGTCAACTGCAACATGTTGCAGTCGAAAAATCGACCACAGCAATTTCCGCGGCTGAACCGCATAAGTGTGAACGCGTATCGGGCGGTTGCATTTAAAATAAAACAATTTAAATTTGTTGAGTTGTTGAACCGCTGCAGCTCGACCGCTATGTGTGGCCCAACCCTAAAACACAGTTACATAACTCAAAAACTACTAGCTTAAATTTTTATTTAGATATATCAAAATTCTCAAAATAAAAATCTGAACCTGCTTATAAAAAAAAAGTAGGTTTCTTTTTGAAAAACTGAAGTTAGTTTTTTCACAAGATCATTCTTAAGTGGTACAAAAAATGTCAATGATTCAAATAATGGTGTTTATATAAATCCAAATTTTAATACGAGTATATGCATAAATTAACTATAAAAATAAGATGATTGTGCTTAAAAAATCATCCTATAAAGTTGATATATATTTTTTTAATATTATTAAGCTCGTTATTAAGTATCTTTTAAAATTATAAATGTTGAAGGTACATGTAAATAGTTATATTACATTCTATAAAAGTAGGTATTTTAAATTCATTTATACAATAATAATACTATAAGAAATAGATAACAAAACAAAATATAAGATAGAAATCTTAAGCAGGTTACTATTATAGTATTTATGATCATATTATGATTATGTATTATTAGTGTGATTATTGATTTTTAGTAATTTGATAAATATCTATAGGACCTAGTAATATTGACTATAGTACATTTTTCCTGGGAACCAGTGCCGTAGAACCTACCATAGAAAATATTGATTATCTTTATATAATATATAATATAAAATAACACGAGTAATTTACTGAATAGGACAAAATGACATTCCACAAATGTCTCAAAATAAACAAGATACTAAACAGGAGTTTACAAAAAAACAAAACAAGCCAAAGCAACACCAAATCCAGAAACAAARCCAACCAACWGAGTGTAAACCACMAGGTAAGGCTCATGAATATTATCAGAAATAATCTGAAGAAAGTATAAAGTTCAAGATACGTGAACATTTCAAAAGTCTGGTACTCTGAATTGTTAATTTCCAGTTGTCTATAGTCCACCATAATGATAATAAATTAATAACAAATATTATATAGGATGATTTTTGATGCTCAACCCCCTTTTTACCCTTTGATAGTACATTTATTCAAATTCTGATTTTTAGAATTTTTAAGTTTACTTAAAGACCATATTTTAAAACTTCTGATATTTTTTGTTTTACTTAAAGAATATGCTGTGGCGTACTAACTTATATTTTTCAAATGAGAATCCCACCCATTTTTTTATTGAAAATTATTTATCGGATAATTTTTTTGAATATCTTAATGTATTTAAATCAAAATTCTTATGTGTAAATTCTGAGTTGGTAAAATTTTTGTACCAAAAATAACCTTTAAATATGGTTTTATAAAAATAAAAACTATATGCTATGTTAGATGCAGTATTTATTATACTTTGATCATTTTTACAAATTTTGCAAATCCTTAAGATTATTATTGATTTAGTGTTTATGATCATATGATATATTAGTGTGATTATTGAATTTTAATAATTTGATAAATATCTATAGAACCTAGTCATATAGAGTCTATAGTGGATGCGATTATCAACAAATAGCATGTCATTTTTATTAAATAGATATAGATATAAAGATTGTGCTATAGTCTATATTATAGACTATAGTACATTTTACCTGAGAACCAGGACCGTAGAACCTACCATAAAAAATACTAATGATTTTTATATAATATTTAGTATAAAATAACATAAGTAATTTACTGAATAGGACAAAATGACTTTCCACAAATGTCTCAAAATAAGCCACATACAAAACAGCAGACAACTCAAAAACAAAATAAACCAATGGAAGCAAATCAAAAACAAAATCAACCTGCTGGAACTAAACCAACTCAAAAACAATCTGAAGGTATAAATGAAGACAATGATAAAATTGAAAATAAATAAGTGTGTTAGTAATATTCTAGTTAAGAGCAAGTTCTGCACAAATATGACTGCTTTATATATTCTGCCTGCTTTTGTATTTTCTGACTGGATTAAACTCAATAATAAAATTGACTATATATATAATAAGGATTGGCAACCAACGGCTGTCTAATGATGTGGCCTTCATCATTTTTATCTGGCTGCCAGTGATGTGTTAAATTGTTATGTTCTTTCTTTTTTTTGTATCTATTTTCACAATTTTACTGGTTTTTATATTAGGACAGTAACAACATTTTTTGACTATTAACTTTGATATATTTTCTGGTAGAAAATTARTCCATAAAAGGACACCGTAGGAAAGAAAGTTTGGGAACCGCTGCTCTAACCCACTAGAATTTAAAGTTCTAAAAATTGAGTCTAGTACATCTGAGTTGCTTATCTTTGATYTATAATAATCTAATTAAATACATTAAATACAATTTTATGTTAGGCAATAAAACATCTGCTGAGCCACAACCATCTTCAACTAAAGGTAATTTAAAATAGCATTTAAGTATATTTTTACTACTAGTATATTTATGTTAAATTTAGACAATCAACAAATTGAACAACAAATTGTAATCCTAAAGAGTAACTTACATATTCCTAAAAGAAGAAATCCTAAGACTGGAGGTACTATGGGACGTGCAACTGAGATTGATGTGAATCATCTTCCTCTTGATCTTGACAATTTGTTCAAAAAAGTTGTCTATCATATAGATGTACAATTCAAACCAGAATTACCAAAAAGACTTCTTAGGTAATTTATTTTAACAATTAATAATTATTATCAATATGTTCATTTTTTTACTATTAAATATTTTTAATTCAAAAGTAATATAATATATCTTATTCAATTTGCTTGAATCATATTTTAAAAATGTGTACTAGAGATAAAAGTAAAATATTTAGATTGATAAATTTCATATTTTTTATTATTTTTACAGTTTTACTTATTATTAATTATCAACCATATTATGTATTTTTARTTATTTTTATATTTTGTGAACAAAAAATACTCCACAATAATGAATAAGTTGTCAAAAGTTTTTGATATAACACACCAGGGATGGCAATATATTTTGTGGTATCACGTACTCTCAATATTTGACACTTATATTTAAAGTATTTAAATACTCAATACATTTGAATGAAATAAATCACTGGTTTTAAAAAAAATTGCATTTATACACATTAGGTGTGTATATTTTAATTAGTTAAACTTCAACATTTAGTAACTTAATGATATTATACATAACAATAAATTACTATTATGAATGTACATATTTTTTAAATAGTGACAAACTTCTACAGTCAATAAGTAATAACCTAATTATTATACAAGTATTAGTTTATGATGTTATAATTATTATAATTTTATTATCAGAGCTTAAAATTGTGTACCAAAACCCAATAAATACCATAAACAATGATTATTTTAAGTTTAAATATTCCGGTGAGGGTAAATACCTCTAAAAAACACAAATTTACCAAGAAACAAAAACCTACTTGTATAGTATTATAGTAGTTCTTGTTATATATTKTTGATAAATACATTTATCCTATGTACAATCAGTAAAACTAAACRGATAGATAATGACAAAAATACACATTACATGAGTTTCTAATTTGATATGTAATGTATCTACTGTTTGTATCATATGTCTAATAATAATCTTATCTATCTAGTATATATTAAATAAACTTTTTTTAAGTCAGTAAAACTTATATTTTTGTTTATATTAATTTTTCCTAATAGCAGACAATTTTTATGGTCCCGTGAGTGTCTGCTATTTAGACTTTCACTGTAAAATAAAAATAATATTAGTAGTTACCTATGTTATAAATATTTCATTTTATAATTTACAAATAAAATACTGATTGTGAGAGTTTAAATCTGAATTTTTAATAATTTGAAAATAATTTATCTCTTTGTAAAAACTTCTACTGGACAGTGGACATATTAACCTTAAAGTGTCACTATTCATAGGCGATTGAAAATAATCGTAAAAAATTAATTTTTTAAAGTATTTCATCAATGTATTGAGTATCTTTTGATAAAAATTTGTATGAAACATTTGATCATTGACTAAAAATGTATCGCGATAYAAGTCACAATTTATTGTGTTTAAAATACTATTGAAGATACTGCACAATCCTGATAGAAACTATAGACTATATGTATTAAATTATTGAACTAATGTTTTGAATTAGTAATTTCTTTATAACATTTGTATTTCTTTATAGAAATGCTTTGGAAGAATTTAATAAAAGACATTATCCGAATGTTAATTTTGCATTTGATGGACGAAGAAATATGTATTCTGTAAAAGAAATAAAAGGGGTATGTTCATGAATTTAAAATTAAAAATATATCTTTTAGTATGACAAAGTAGTATTTCAGAATGATTGATTTATGTTTTTGTAATTGAGCAGATAACACGGTAGCTTTAAACGAGGTGTTATGGTGAATATTTTTTTATTTTATGGTGGAAAGGAAGGGTGGTCGGGATACATTAAAATAAACAATAACATAAATTAAAATTAAAATGTTTACAGTAACATAATAATTATATCTATTATAAAATCTTTTATTTTTTTAAGTTAAGGAAATTAAGAGTGGCTGAGTACTGGAATATTTATTGTTTTTTAATGTTCACCTTATCACTAGGTATGCGTTTAATATTAAGAAAATATCTCACCTGTATGAGTTCTTGTCATTTTACAATTAAAATTATAGTTAAATAAAGTTAAACAGTTTGCATTTAGCTTAATTTTTTTTAATATTAGAGTACATTTTCACCTATTATTAAGCTTAAAAAGTTATCAGTATATCAATATGATTATTATTGGTGGAGGTGAACTTAAAATCATATATTGCATATCTATCAGATTGAGTTAACACATTTTTTCATAATTTAAGTATCAAAAATCAAAATATTAAAACAAACAAAGCTAAATGTACATTATTTCTGAGCTCAAATTTGCTATATTACATCCTTGAAGGACAGATAAAAAATTTGGGGGTATGAGATATCTTCTTAAATGAATACTTTTAATAATAAATCATTTCTTTTTTTTTGGCGGTTTGAAAATATAATGCTTGAAAAAATGGTATGACCGTATTTAAAATACATGCGTGGTATTTTTTTATAATTAAAATAATTATTTAATGTTAAAGTTATAAAAGTCCATTAATTCTAAAAGGGCTTAATATTTCTATTTCCTATGAATATA